TATGCTCCTGGTAATGTGTACAATGCGGATGAAACGGGTCTTTTCTATAAGTTGTTACCTTGTAAAACATTGTCAAGTGGTTCTGATAACCATGGAGGGAAGGAGGAAAAAGAAAGAATTACAATTATCATATGCTGTTCACTAAGTGGAGAAAAAGAAAATCTTTTGGTTGTTGGGAAGTATCGTAATACAAGGTGGTTCTATGATGGAAAGTACACCAACATTAAACAGTTCTATGACTTTCAAACTAATGCTTGGATGAACATAATCTTTTTCATCGATGGCTACTCAAATGGGAAGAAGCACTCATAAGAGAAAACAGAAACATTCTAATTATAGTAGATAATGCTCCAAGCCACAAGCTAATTATAACTACGACTTAAATTTATATTTTATTTAATAAAATAATGACATCGAAACAAATGAATAGATTTGATACATTATAAACTTGTTTCATAAAAGCGTCATTTTTTTCAGTTACGATTTTGTGAAAAATATGATAATAATTAAAAATAATTTAAAGTACTTTGGTCATTAGTCTTGCAATATTTTGTAATTTTTTCTTGTGCACAATTTCAACCATTCACTATAACTTTTAACTTACTTGTTAATATTTTTGATATATTTTTTTACAAACAACATGACACACTATAAAAATGTTTTCATTACTTGTATTATCTATTAATTATTTATATTTCAACTATAACTTCAAATGCTCTATTATATTTAAGTCACAACTCGGAGCTGGCCAATTTTTAATGATAAAACGTTTTTATAATTCAAAAAACTAAAGTGTACAGTAAAAACTTTGAAGAGTGGGCGAGTGTGGTAATTATGTTTTTTTCAAAAGTGGGCATTTTAAGCCAATCAAACCTTAATCATTGCTCTATAAAGAACTTTATTTTTAGTTTCATTGAAAAATACCATTTTTGTGAGAATCTGCTTTTCAAAAGTACCGTTTATGAAAAGTTTTACTGTATTTTGATTTGTGCACATTGGCGTTGTATTTCATATTTTTTAACTTATGATTACGTTTTAATTGTTTCATTTTTATTACTGTATTGCTTTTATAACGTTTTGATAATTATGGAGGTTTAATACTAAATTGATTAAAATGTAAGTATATTGTATTGTTTTATAATTCCTGAATTGATACATATTTTTATATTTTGCTTTTTATATATTATTGAGTCAATAGTTGTTTGATTTTGTCAAATTTTCTCCAGTTATCTAATTTATATCAACACATTTATCTTTAAAATGAATAGAAAGATACAACTTTTTAAGGTTAATTTTTTTGATAATCGATGTATTTTCAAGTAAGTCACTCCAACAATAATCGTTTACAAACTGATACATCATGATATCATGAAAACTTGAAACTTTTACTTGTTATTTTTCTTCAATTTTTTTTATTTTATCATCTGTAATTAATTAAAATACCAAGTTATAATTCAACTAAATTTTAATGATCAATATATTTACTCGATATTAACAATTAATCAAATTACTTTATTAAATTAGACTGAATTACGTCAATTATATCCAAAACGTATTTTAATATAAATATTGAAATACATTTTACTTAATATTTTAATCATAATAATAATGTGAAACGATTGTTATTATTTTTTAGTGTTAAAAATGATTTTCTTTGTTTCTAAAAATAGTAAAAATAATGACGATTTAATGGATAAGGAAAAATAACAAGGAGATAAAATAAATTTCAAAATAATAAAGAGGTCATACACTTTTTTGTTTCAATTTAACATCAAAAAATTATTTTTTTCAAAAAACCACACCCAATGAAAATATATAAAATTTAAATATCTTAGGTAAAAATTGCATTTTTACCTCTAATTGAAGGCAATGACGAATTAATAAAAAGAGTTTACACTCATCCAAGGCCGTATATTGAAAAAAATAGCAAATTTTAAGGCAGAAGAAATTATTGAAGCTCATTCTCGGGGAAAATGTATACAGGGCTCAAAATGAATGTGGGCGATGCCATATTATATGCTGTCGACTGTTGGAACAATGATGTTTCATCTCAAAAATAATTGGTTGCTGGAAGCATGCTTTGAATAGAAAAGAAGGTGGAAGGATTTTGGGGGATGTAACGGGCTATTCCATTGAAGATTTGATCGAAGAAAACGAAGAACTCACTGATGTTAAGGAACCTGAAGAACAAAGAGATATTTCTTTGAGAATCGAAGATTGAAAAAACTAATAATGAGTAAAACGATGAACTAAAAGAAATAAAACAACAGTACAAGAAACTCTGTGAAAGAAAAAATGTTCCCGTGTAAATAGATTTTAATTAATTTAAAATCTCGTAATTTATGTTAAAACAAACTTTGAAAAAAACTACTACCTGAGGTGGCTCGTGTTTCATGTATTTATTTTATTTTTTTAGTTTTGATTTATTTTATACCAATTTTGATTATTTTTCTTGGCAAAAACTTATATTGACAACCATTTTTTTCTTTCAAATAAATTTGCATTTTTGATATTTTGTAATTATTTTTTTTGTTTTTCTGGTTATTCAAAATGTATTTACCAAAAAATAGAAAAAATGATCCCGATTTTTTAGAACAAAAAACAATAAAATGTCAGTTATATATCAGTGGTTTTCAATGTTTAATTAATAAAAATGCCCGTTCTTGAGAGAACCCGCTCTTCAGAGGTGTTGCTCTTGGGAGGTTTTACTGTATTTTTTATAAAAAT